GACATTTCTCATGTTCTGAGCATTAACAGTGTGTTCATTTGTTAAGGGCTGCGATAGCAGAGTAATTATGTGTGTCTGTGTTGGTAAGGAATATAGAACAGGGGGTTTATTTGCATCAATGACACACACTGTGCTTGTTTTTACTTACATCTTGCATTAGCTTATGCGTATTTGTTGCTTGTGCCTGTTTTAAACAAGAACAGCAGTTAGCTGAGGAGCAACACCTTTTCTCTCATTAGACTTACTAAACAGGATAATGATTCCCCTGAGAATGTGTCTCCATCACTCCGCTTGCCCTGTAACTCTCTGCACCACCATCACCATGGTGATCAAAGCCAGATGTGCTCATTTCTGTTGCCGCCAACAAAGAACAACTGTACTGAGTGTTTTTACAGTTGTCACTCTGCTCAGTGCCATAGCCGCTAGGGAATCTTCTATGTACTGCATCAACATTAGACAAACCTAAAAACATATCACAGTTCATCTCTTGGTCTGTCACACATACTCTTCAACTGAAATAAGGAATTTAAATAAGCTAAATTTGACAGATGAGACTAAGCTATAGTTTGTTTTGGGGAGGTGGGGGTGGAGGGTTGTACGGCTACAATCACAGTATCTTTTTTTTATAGCATTTCAAACTTAAAATAAAGGTTTATTTATATATTAAATTGTTTTGGTTAAACATAATTTTCATAATATATTATTTATCGACTTACTCTGTCATTTTTAATGTTCCCCTCCTGTGTTATTTGAACATTTAACTATGTTATCATAATTCTACGTGATCAGACTACCATGATGGTTTTCTCAGAAACGTAAAATCTTGTATGTTTTATGATTCCCTCCACCTGGCTGTTTTTCATCTCATCTACTGTATTAGTGACTCTTAATTGTTTAAGTTCTCTCCTATTTATAGTATTTTTGTGAGCTCATGCTGGGCTGATATTTGTCTCCACTCCTGCAAGCCAAACTTTAATTAAACCATCAAGAAACCAACCAGTAAAGATCAGCTGCTACTGACAAAAACAGCAACGAACCAAACCTTACTAATTTGTTGTGACTACGGTGAATGAACATGCAGAAAGTTCAGACCACAGGATGCCACTCAGCTGTTTGAAGAGGGAATAAATCAGCGCATTGCGACAGATAGCGAGATATCCGTTGTGATATTTTGTATGATTGGCAAATATGTGCAATTTGTTTGAAAAGCGGCGAGGGACGAGTTTTCCATCTTTCATGCTTTTAACAACAAAAACATCAACAAACATCTCCGCAAAACAGAACAACAAAGACAAAGAACTAAAAGAGGGCAAAAATGTACGCTGGAGTAATGCAGCAGTGATCAAAGAAATACAAGACAAGACACACCAAAACACACCTGCAGTGACAGATGGAGGTAGCCCCAGTAAAGAGAGAGGGCAACACAGCGCTGACAGAAAAACTGGTAGACAAAAATGAGGGAGGAATAATAAAGAAGGTTGGAAGAATCCATTGTTGATTTAGGTAAGTGCTCAGCCACAAACACCGCATAAGCACTTTGCACAGACACGAACATTTCATCTAGGACCAGTCTGGCTTGATCTATAAACAGGAAAGAACAATGCGAGCCCGACTTGTCCCTGGGTGACGCTATTAGGGTGTTGGTTTACCACCATGACTGTCTCATCCTGGATCTGAGCCCAACGACAAGGTGACTCGGCCCTGGCTGTACAGTGATTAGTCAGGTTCCGCCACACAGTGATGCTCTGCGGTGCAGCTTCAACCGTTCAGAAAAAAAATCTGTTTGGCTGTGAGAGACAGAAAAGAGAAAGAACATGTTATAGACAGAAACTCAGTCTCTAAGCCTTTCCATTTATTAGATGTGGCGAGCAAAAGTTTTGGGAACAGCTCTGCTTTGATGAACAGAGCAATTACCACAGTTTTTCACACTGACAATGAGAAGACTATCAGTCAGAAACATGGTAGAATCAAGGTTATCCGGAGGATTTCTGTGGTGGTTGCCAGGCAAACAACGGTCCAAAATATCCTTATATTTAAACAATAGAACATGTAATCTGCCAGTGGCCCCCAAAACGACATATATGACTGCTGGAAAGGCGTACTCAACGCAATGGTAGCAATAACAAACACGTGGTTAACTTGGGAAGAAGTTTGATTAGGTTCAGGCACTAAATCTGCTTTGTTGGGCTTAGGGAAAGATCATGGTTTGGGTTAAAAGCATAGACTGTATAAAACACATACATAGTGCCCCTGATGTCACTCACAGGTTTCTGAAGAGTCGGTGTGAAGCTGGGCGGCTCCCGGCGGTCGCCATCTTGGCAGTGCTTGACTAACTTGTTTTTGTGGCCATTCAATGCACTACAGTTTTAGCCAATTCCACTTTGGCTTCATTTTTCAGCCACTGAGGTTGCAGTTTGGTTAAAATAAGTAAGTTAAGTTAGTAAGTCAGGGACTTCAGTCAAAATAAGACAAGGAACACTAACAGTGGTTTCCTGTGTTACGCACATAAGTTAAAATAAGCCAATGTTGACTTTTGGTTTTACACGGGACACAAACAGCAGGTGAAAGTCCTGTGTTCGACTTCCTTCTTTGCTGCTGTCATAATTACTACGGCCACTAGAGGTCAACGCTTAACATACACGTAAACATGGGTCGTCATTAGCTGCTTACGGCTGTATTTTTGGTTAGGATGGTCTGAGTTTTTCCTGTGGTCCATCTCCCGCACCTCTCTCTAAAACTGTGACTGACCCCATGTGAATTACAGTTATTCTGCCAAACAACCTGAAAATAGAAAGCGAAAGATTTTTGCACCATAAAACAGTTTGATGTGTACAGGCAATTATAAATAGTGAGCAGAGTGTTCACTCTTTGACTCTGGGGGAAAAGAAATAGTGTCAAATCTGTTGATCTGCTTTGTACTTCCCCCCTCCTCTACAAATCCTCAGACACATTTTTAACTTCATCTCCAATCAAAGAAGACCAGATTGCAATCTGCTACGCAATATGTTTTGCTCCACTTTATTAGGCCCATAGATAAACCTCATGGCTGGAACACAGGCCTGTGAGTAATGAAGGCTCCCTCAGCATAACAAGATCCTTCCCTCCTTATGCTCTCCTCCTCTCAATTTGTAGTGCCTATGAGTTTAGCTGGTCATTTCCCTGCTTTCCTTTCACAGGAGCAAAACAGATGCTGTGACAAAACACAATAATTTGTTAGATTTCGAAAAGCATGCAGGCAATTAAGGAGAAGGTATTGTCAATATGTATGCAACTCCAGGTTCCAGATGAGGACAAAGTGTATTCCAGCTAATCATATTATGGTAAAAATTAGATATTGAGTGTTATTATCTGAGTAAAGGGTGAAGTCATAAAATATGTGATGACATCTGTTTTTGATGTATTGTTAAGAACCTGAATCATTTGTAAATCAGAAGCATGTTTACAGCACCATTCATTATTTTGCATTAATGTCATGGCATGTCCTCAGAAACGCCCACTCACATAATCTCCTTGATCAAAATAACATTCGTGAAACTGAAAAAGGAACTTCAGCGACACCGAAATTGAGGTAATTCTCAGTGGCATTGAAAAGAAAAAGAACTGAAAACAAATACTGAAGCAATACAGAAGTAGCAGTTTTGCAAAAAAAGCTGATGTGTTGAAGCAGAGGGTGACTGCTGCTGAAGACTTTCAAAGAAAGCGGTTTGATTTTAAAACTGAATTGCTGGAGGAGCAACAACTGCTTTGGTCTCCCAAACCACTGAGTGCATCACTGTGGAGGTGTTTGTCTCTGGCTGTGCTCCAGATGGGGACAGTTGTGTCACTGCCAGAGCTGAAAATATTCACCAGCTGACAGGCTAAAGCAAGCAGACCTTGTCAGATAGTGGGTTAACTGGTCAGATCTCTTTTTCTGGAACTCACTTCTGTCATTGTAGAGATTATATGGGACTTTTTGGACTTTGTCGCACGTAAATATACAGTAAATGGATTTACCTAATGTTTATTTATGTACAGCAGATGTGTGTTTTAAAGAAGGCATATTTTCAGTGTGGTGCCTTTTATGGTCTTGTTTAATTAATAAAAGTGAGCGATAAAAGTTCACACATGCTCTTCACAAGCTTTAAGTCAGGTGTGACTTTTATTTAGACAATTTAACAATGCAGATTCACAGAAACTATGATAAATCTGGATTTTTTATTATGTGTACACATGATTATGTAGAGTTTTATGAGCAAATTCATTCATGAATCATAAGAAAACTGAGCTCACTATGTAGCAACTTATTTACTGAGTAACAGCTTCTACAAGGACACTGCACATTAAATAGCCACTTTACATTGTACGTTGTTCAACCGAGGGAGTACGTTTTAGAAGTAAGTAAGTAAATTAAAATAAAAAGTATAACATATAAAGTTCATTCACAGGCCTTTACTTCAAGGTTCCAGCAAGTCACTGATACTACATGTCTCTTTATTTAGATGTGCTAACACTTAAAGCACTCTTTGTTGCACCATGTCTCGTCTTACCAGAGAGATATTCTCTTGCACAATGTAATGTACTGTACTCTTGCAACTGCATTTTGTTTCCTTCATGTCAGCTCTACATCAACATTGCTGTTCACTTTTCAGTTAGCTCTGTACATATTAATAGAATTTATTGTTCCATTTTTGATCATTTTGATAATCACCTCAGTCTTAGAGAACAGTTTGATGTTAGCCAGTCACTCAGTGTAGTACCAGCGTAAGCCTGCTTTTCACAGCTCAGCAAACATTAGGTCACTATGGCTCTTTGTTACACTGTGCTTGGAAGACCTGCTCATGGCTTTGGATAAAAGCAACAGCTGAGTAAATGTAATCTAAATTTTAAATTACGATGACTAAGCAACACTGAACAAAAAAAAAAACAAAACAGCAAACAAACAGAAATGACAGCCACACAAACACTGACATGCATTCATTTCAGTTTGAAATATTTGTGATGTATGGAAAAACACAACAAAACACTTTTTTTGGGCTTTATTTTATTGTAAAGATGAGACAACTATGCGTAAGATATGAGTCATTTCAGTCGGAGTGTAGGAGAACAAACAGCATCAATTCTGGTTAACTGGATTAACTTTTTTGACAATAATACTCTTAGACACTGTTCCCTTTTTGCAGACTCGATCTCACAGTGTGTAAATGTTCTCACCAGCAATGTCAGACAAAACAGACTAGTACAACCAAAATCAACTTGTCAAATGACTTCCTATTACTGTTGTAACCTGTGAAAGATCATATGGCATAACTCGTGTGTATCCTTTTTGTGTGTGTGTATATTCATATATATTTTTTTATAGTTTTATAGAATGCGGATTACATTTTTATAGAAAATATAAACAATAAGGTAAGTGGTTTTAATATAAAAGCTGTGTTACCCCACAAGGAATGAAAAAGACAAAAAAAAGAAAAATCAATACGCAAAAGTAATAAATGCAGATATAAGCTCAAAATCTTTTTAATTGTACATGACTAATACCATGCATATGAAAATAACTAATATGTAATTAAAAACTAAAATACAGATTGGAAAAGACAAGATGATAGGAATGTAAAATAAAAGCTACAGTAGAGGCAATTCTAAGAAATGCCAATGTGAAATTAAATGTGATATAGCTGTTATTTAATATTGCATACTTCTGGATTACAAAGAAAGTGCTCAGCAACATTGCATATTTTGCTGTCAGACAAAAAGGTATGTTGTATATGTCTGGAATATATAGATGAGAGCCAAAGGTTTTTGGCAGTTCACTTTACAGGATCGATCAGGTAGAGACTCTGCTGAATCAATTTGGCTGTGTTTTCTTGTTTGAACTATAATATGTGACATTAATATGAGTAAGTATTTCCCATGAACCATAACATCTGGAAATCAGTCTCTATTTCAGGAAGTAACCTCTGAGGATATTCTGTGGGCCAAAGCATGACCAACTACAAGTGCTCTACCTGCCTGAATTTTCTTTCAGAAAATAATTTTTTAAGTCTGTAATCAAGTCTGTCCATCAAGCGTCAAAAGCATGGTCCTCAATTTGAGTTTTGTACACATTTATTTTCTACAAAGCTTCAAAAAAAGTCCTTGTTTTCTTATTTATTTATTGTTATAATTGCCCTGCTATTATTTATCTCTGACAAATCTTATTAAAGCTTATTTACGAAGCTGTTGAAGGAAAATCTTTTAGGTGACATTCAGAGTTCATTAAGATGTATGAGTGCAAACATACTGTAAGCTACATATGTATGTCATTTTAGAGATAATGTGAAAATTATCCTCACAAAGCCCTGAGTTTGGCCAGGAGAGCCTCTACGTCCGACTCTCCATTGGTGCTACAGCTACTGACCGCAGCACCAGTGGTGGACGGGTGGAAGGCTGGATGCTCTGCTTCCACCTCCATCTCTTTCCCAGTCGGTTTAACCATCTCTCTCTCCACCACCCTCTCTCTGTCCAGCCAGTAGCTGTGACCCGGGGCATTCCTGTACCTGCGGCCTGACTCTGAACACGCAGCAGCCTTGGCCCGGGCTGCAGATGGATGGTCTTCAGACTCGTTACGGGCCTCCTTGGCAGGGGGAGCTTTCACCGCAGCTGAACTCGCATTTATATTCTGCCGAGAGCGAGACCTTTGTAAAGGTGCCTTGTTGTTTTCTGTGAGTAGAAAAAACAGTGAGACAAAGTAGTGAGCACAACAGTGAGAATGAGGGAGGGGAGTGGGAAGAAGTTGATGCCCAACTGACTCATTAAATGAATGGAAGCAAGGGGTTCATCAGACTACAGATTGAATTGAATTACAAGCAAGAAATAAAGCAGGAGAAAGGATGAAAAAACAAAACAAAGCAAGGGAATACGAAATGCCATTCTGCAGCAAATACAAAATGACAGAAATAATCAGAATGTAACAAGCATTTTAGTACGCATGTGCACATGCAAGACAAAGCAAAGGCACATATATACACATGAGCTCACTGTACACAGTGAATACAGATGAATACACACAAACACCATGGAAGCGTACACCGCATATACACACACTGATGAGGACAAATTTTCTGCAGCAGACTGTGGCATACAGCAAGCTCAATATGATGAAATGGATATGGCTGATCAACCTCAACAGAAACTCAATATCATTGTACGTCACCCTTTTCCAATCTCCCAGTCTCTTTTCTCTTACATGATACCCTCCCACCCAGCTCCACCTCCCAATTCCACCATTATCATCCATTCTCCTTCCTCTGCTCTTCATCTCAGCTCTCTGCTGCTGCAGTAGCCCTCTTCGTCTTTCTTATTTCTCTTAAACCCCCCCCACCGCTCTCTTCTCTCCTCAGCCTGCCGCCCTCCCCTCTGTTTTCCGACTTAAAACACACACCGAGACAGACAGTGGAACAGAGCGACAGCCCAGATCAGACCTACATTCTGAATTATAATCCCTCTGAGTAGATCTTAGACTTCATCATCAGTATGTGTGCACTGGAAGGAGAGGGTAAATCCATATTCATATGACCTTGAGCGTGAAGCTGAGAGGAGTGGCGCGAGGAAAGACACCACCACATTTAAAGTTTCCTGAGCATTAAATGTCTGGCAAACAGGAGTCAAACACAGCAGAGCAGAACAGAGCGACCCGCTCTGTCAGCCAATCGGTAATGAGTTTGGAGCGTGGCCAGTCAGTCATGACAGTGTGTTTTATGGGCCACGCTGACGAATGACAAGGAACGTCCCTGAACACAACCTCTGACAAATAAATAAGGATAAGGGTGGGGGGGGGGGGGCAGACAAGAAGGAGCCGACTGCAAAATTAAGCAAAGAAAGCCAAAGATCATACACACACACAGACACACACAAAACCCAAAACCATGTTAGGCAAATAAGAGGCAGTGGGGGATTTTAAAAGGGTGACATGAGTAGTGTGTGTTGCCTTGCTGCTATAACTGAACATTTCTCCTCTCATTAACCCACCCTTTTTGCTCTCTTCCTGTGTTGCAGTCTCAATTGTAAAAGGTGACTTCTTGCACCGCACTCCCCTATCCTGTTCCTCTGCCTTGAAAAACCATCTACCCCCAATGCCTGTTTCTTTCTGCTCGATCGTGGCTGATGCCCCACAAACACACATTTCCCTTACAAATAACACGCTCAAAAATTCAGAGCTCATGTTGACAAAATTATCAATTGTGGTATCAGCAATTTGCATTTTAATATCTTATTTACACTTCTGTTAAAATGTTAAACTGACACCAGTTCTGTCTGCTTGGAGAGAGAGAAGAGGGTATTATCAGACAGTTTTTGACAAAATTCAAACATGCACATCTTTGAATTGACGTTTATTTTAGCATTTCTTAGCATAACTTATCATTTAACAGTTTTCTTCTCTGCATGAATTCTTAATGATTATATATGAAAAACATATAGAGAAATACATATACTCTTTAAGTCTGCACTTCAAAATAGGTTTTTTTAAAAACACACTTCAATGAGACCTCTTATCTAAAGGGCCCTAGCCTTTAGTGACGAACATGATCAAAGTGCTTCTCTGCCCGTCTGATACGTAGCTGCCCCTTTCTTTGAAGCCTCGCTAGCCTCTTAACGTATGCCATTTCTCATGTCACAGGTGGTACCTCCTTTAACCAACAACTGACACTGGTTTTAGAGAACGATTCAAGTGGCATTCACAGACAAAACCGGTCTTTTTGCTGAACACATGGTGTGATGGTAGGAGCGTGCATTTATGCCTCTCAGACAATTTGATGCAGATTTAGATACGTGACATAAAATTCATAGATGCGCTACAGATCACAGATACACATCAGTACATTTCAATTCTGCGCAAACTTGATTTCTACAGTCTTTTCGTTTTGACTGGCAATAACATAATTAAAAACGTTTCCCACTTTTTATTTCAAGTACAGATTACAAAAAGCCCCCTAAAAATGTGTGCAACTGCCACAAAATCAAGAGTACTACACAGATTTAGCATTGCATTCTTGTAAGATTGAAGAAAAAAATCTAAATCGATGCAGCAGAACCAGAGATATTGTGTTTTATTTCGAAAATTCTTCAATGTCATAACGTCAAATGATGGTGCCAACATTATCCACAATTCAACTCCACCACCGACAGTTCAGAGACTAGGGTGTTTTGCTAGGGTGCGTTATGCTAGTAGCAGCCAATGTAGCCTTGAGCTGCTAGCCTCAAGCCCCAAGACCTATAAGCAATAACAATAAGAAAGGGCAAAATTTTGTACAGTCCCCAAGAAGGAAGCATTTTTCACTTAAATGTAGGCAACTGGGTACTGTTTCCCTCAATTTCAGGGTCATAGTCATCCATCTGAATTGAAAAACAGTAAATGGGTACAAGTCCTTGTAAATAAAATAGCTTATTGCCTCAGTTATTGCCTTTGACCGGGGAGGAGTTGGTTGATATTGCTAGCTTTGTTGCAAGCTTGCCTCGGGTCGACTGCTCCTACTGGCAATGTTACAGATAGCGCTTTATTGTTCTTGTATCATGCTGTTTTCCATAAAGAGTACGTTGATGATGCCACTGCTTTCTGGCACAGTAGCACTCCGATACATAGCAGTTATATATTTACACCTAGATAATGATAGCAGTTCATTGGAAAACTTTTCCTGTCCAATATAAGAAAAGAGTGTGAGAGGTATTCCTTTATTCCATCTGCAAATAGCAGCAGAAAGGAGTTCACATTTCCTCATGTAAGATCATTTGCTCCATTTATATTTGCTGCTTCGACTGAAGGAGATGAGCTTTTTACTCATCTCTCTGCTCCCCTCCCCTCTTCTGCTCTCTTGAAGTTTTTGAGAAGTTAGTAGGCAGGCAGGATGAGGCAGGGAGCCTCAGCATAGAGACAGAAAGTGAAGTCTGGACTGCAGCAGTGCTTGCCTGCCTTTTCCTTTCCCTGACTGTAAAAGCTACATTGCCTGCCACCATTGTGGTGACAATGAACTCATCTACATGAAGAGCTGTTAAGAGATTGGAGCAAAACAGGCAACACATGAGAAAGCCTGGAGATTGGTATTTTCCAATGTCTGTAAAACATGAACACAATGCGATTCTGCTAAACTACCAGTCTATCACAGCCCCTCAGTCTGCCGCTGTCCTTTACTTTGCTGGAAGGCAGAGTGGAAAAGAAAAACAATGATAAAAGAGCTGGCAGACTGAGCTTGTTGTGTCTCTTCTTGCTCTCAGCTTTGCTGGAGAAAACTGTCTTTTAACTGTAAATCTCACAGCCCACAGCCTTTTAACCAGCTACTGACACTGCTTGGGTTGCAGCACAAAACAAAGAAAATCTCAAACAAAACAGACTAATCGCTGCTCTGAACAATTTAAGAATATCACCAGGAATTTCAAGATTAAACCATAGTCGTTTATTAAATGTCTGATAGGATGGCATTTAGTAGGAATGTAAAAGGCCCTGTCCATTAGAAAAAAATGAGTTTTTCCTTTTTTCCTTTCAGCAAATAGCTGCAGAGAGGAATTCACATTTTCCTCTTGTCAGATCATTTGGTCCATTTGCATTTGCCACTTCAAATACAGATGCAGATGAGCCTTTCCTCTCATCTCTCACTCCCTCCCCTTCTCTCCACTCTTATGAAGTTTGCAGTATTTGATCACTTTAAGAAGAGAGTAGTCATGCAGACTCAGACAGTGAAGTGACTTTTTCTCTCTGCGGAGTGATTGACACAACAAGTTGAAGTTGAAGCAAGATCAAACACACACTTCTACACCCGCCATAAATCACAACACAGCTAACTGGCTTGCCAGTTTGCTGCATGTTCTATCTACTGATAACTATTTGCCCTGTTTTTTGCACCTACAAATAGAACACCTGGGCCCAGTTTACTGCACAAGGATCAGGTCAAATATATGCAGCTTTTCTCTTGACACCCAGAATTCACTTACTGGCGCGCACAACTCTGCTGCTAACTTTAGCTGCCATTAGCTAGTTTGCTCAGTTAACGATCCTATTAGCTAATTCTACCTGGACTTGGAGCTGGGAGTACGGGGGGAGTGTTTGTTTACATCTCTAGCATAGGAGCTTTGGACCACCAGGAGGAGGGGGTTTTCAGGACCAGGACCAGGTGACCCAGCCAGGAATGCTGCCAGGGAGCGGTGGCGGAATAAGCAGCATAACCTCAGCCGGGCAAGCGGGCAATGGAACCAGGCTCAGCAGCCTCCCAGTGAACACGGCTGGACCAGTACCAAACACAGCCAACAAGGCTGATGGAGGCCAGTTTAAAAACAGGGAAGACAGTACTAAGGTGATATACAGCGGCTCCAACCAAAACTCTGGCTTCGGGGACGACGCAGACAGAGTGTTCAGGTGGGAACAGGAGAGGCGTCAAGCAGGAGAGGAGCGAGTTTGTAGCGAGTTAATTTGTGAGTAACGTTACACATCATCCATCGTGTTGAAAAGTCTGGGAGTATTTGTTCTTGTGAAGTTGGAAGTTATTTATTCCTTTGTTTTGAACAACAAGACTTGACTTGTGTGATGTTATAGTGTGGTGAAATAAATTAACAAAACTGCTTGCTGGCATTCCAACACATTCAGAATCATTAGCGCTTGTTGTTAACAAGAGGCTCACTTTGTGCCCTTTGTTAAATGTATATTTTAAAGACACATTATTACAGTTTTATCT